CACTTACTTGCATCCTGATAAGATGGTGGTGGTCCTGGTGTGAATGGTTGTCCATGGTAGGGTGATGTGGGCATGGACTGAGCTGGATAGCCCGGCTGAGCTGGATAACCAGACTGAGCTGGATAACCAGACTGAGCTGGATAGCCCGGCTGAGCTGCATAACCAGACTGAGCTGCATAGCCGGGCTGCACTGGTACTGGCTGGTAGGGCATTCCCTGGTAGGACTGAGATTGTCCAGGTACTGCAGTTGGTTGCTGCGGGTAACGCTGAGGAGTGGTGGTGGTGACCACTGTGGTGTGGGTAGTGGTCGCTACCACAGCTGCAATTAAACAAACAAATAGATTAGAAATATAGAAAACTTTGGCTGTTTTACATGCAGTGTAGGAGTACAACTACAGGAGGAATTATTCAGGTATGGAGACAAAAGGATTCAAACTAGTTTCACTTAAAAAACAAAAAACAAAAACAGGACATCCTCATAAACCCTTATAAATGTTTATTACACACATAACACACTCCATAGGCATATGTACTAAATCCACATTGGCTTTGTCGTGATTGCCAGTGCAGAAAGATTTAAACACATCAGGAAAAACGATCTCAAAAGAGATTCCAGTAGAGTCAAAGGTATTTGTACTTCCTATTCTGTTTGTATCCAGGAGGATATGAGATAACAGAGGATTACAGACCAACCAACAGCACAAATAAAATGATCCAAATGTCCTGAACTTGTTTGGAACATGCCACCAAGTTAAACACACAAGTAACTTGCCTTGGACAAATATGAGGCAAGAGCTACGCAACTTCTGCAATTAACCAACTGTAAAAACCCAGCTGTCAAGAAAAAAAAAAAAAAGAAAAAAAAATAGTTTACAGTTTCGATTCCTGCAAATGGATCTTCTAACACTACAGCTTAAACACAGAAGACAGGATATCCTGGCTGGTAATTAGCCAAATAATTAACAGCCAAGATCCAAAACGTCTTCAATGTGTATCATAATGTATGGATAATATTCTTATAAAGAATGACTGAAAACTGAATATTAATCAGAGAAAGACAAGAAAAGGGTGCAGTCTTAAGTAAACATCCTCAATCATCCTCTCTAGCTTCGCCTAATGAAGAAACAGCCCTGCCATAGTCACACTCCGAGTGTAAACCCATCGCTGTGTAAGCTCAGTAAAAAAGAAAGAAAGAGGGGGAAAAAAAACCACCTGGGGGTGTAACGAAGATGTTCTTCAACATCTTCACGACCACTTCCTGTAAATGACGTAGGATGGCTTTCTTTTCTTCTTTTTTTTTTTTTCTCTTTCCAGTCTGTGGTTGTCATAGAAACAATGAGTCACACAGCGTGGAGCTCTGACTTCCTGGATTTGATCCCATCATACCACTGGAACTAAGGCAGCCAAGGAAGCCAGACTGCGTTCCTCACTTGCATTTTAGCCTCTCCGCCAGAAGACTGTCGCCTAACAGCAAAACATTAACCAGCCGACTGACAAAGCTGACAGGAGGTGCAAGAACTGGGAAGAGCGTTCATTATGGTGAATGCACGTCTCTGTAAACATAAATATGGACGTGTGGAGTCAGATGCTTTCCTCTATTGAGCAGAATTTTTTTTTAAATTCTTTAGGGAAGCGGATCAAGATGTGGCCATGGACATTAGCGGTTTCAAAAACACAGGATAGTAGAAAGAACTGTTTCAGGGAATTGTGGAATTAAGGAGGATAAAGTGGAATATGTTTATAATCTACCGCAGATAAAGAGTTGAGCGCTGCATTCTTGGCAAAATAATCTGTCAAAGTTTTCTCTTTCCTATTGAAGGCCGGTGCCCTCTTCACCTATATGGGAGATTCCTCTTTCTCTCCTCGTTTCTCCTTCACTAACTGAGAAATGCAACAACCTCCTCCTCTGTATATTTAAGCCTGTGATTTTGATGTATTTTTGAGGAAAGTAAATAAGACACATTAAGTAGAGTTACGGGTAGAAAAAAAGGCCAGTTCAGCAGATATTTAATGGACAAGACTGATGATGTGGGATATTTTCATTACTGTCAAGAAAGCCAATGAAAAGCCCACAAGTTTAGTTTAAAAATGTGTCAAATATTCATCTGCATTTTCTGGACTAAACAGTGACGCTTTCAGGAACTACTTTCAGCGGTCTTTGTCTGTTGTGAGGAAAAAGTGGAACAGGGGGAAAAGGGATAAACTGAAATTTACATTCAATGTGAATGTGTTATCGACAGATAAATAGACGCCTTGGATGAATGTTTTTCCAAAAAGGGGAAAAAAAACAAAAACAAACAAACGATGCTTTATGAGAGAAATCAAAGCAGGTGAAGAGGAAAGTAGTAGTTAGCCTGGGTCAACTATTTATATGATAGAGAGAGCTTCACGACATCACAAAAATGATTTGTGATCTAAAAATAAACAGTCAAACAAACTTCTGAGGTGAGAGAAAAGAATAAATGTTACATAAGCTACACTTAACCTATGTGGTTATCACAATAAATCTGCATTGCACTGAATTCCTAAGCAACTTCAAACAGTCTCGCTATGTTAATACGACACTGGGAAATGCTATTTGCTGTCTTTAATAGTATAAGTTTTTCTTGGTTTGCTATGTGAGTATTTCCCCCAAAAATGTGCTGATCATACTGACTAACAATCTGGTGTATCCAGGAGCCTCGTTTAGAGTGGTGCCAACAGCAAAATAAGGCAGTAGGTCACCCCGTGGAGAGGGGTCAAAGTACGATCCATTGAGGGATCGCTAACACAAACAGAGAACACATCCAGATATACCACAGTCCTCTGCAAAGTGTTGTGATGATGCCAAAGTTGGTTTAATAGCATCAGTTAATTTCTGGCTGTAGTTGGGTGAGATTTGAGAGTGGAAAAAAATATATAAAGACACTTAGGACCGCTGGAGTTGTGGTTAAACAGACAGAAACACCTGTGCAGGTGGGCTGGGCCATATCATACTGTTCACGGTAATACCGGTAAAATGTTGGGCAATGATAAGAAAATGAAATATCGCAATAGAATATGGATCAAACGCGCATGCGCAGAGCCTTTGTTTTCATACGCACATGGCGGAAAAAGCATGGCAGCGACGGAGAATGAGGAGAGCGAAAGCGGATCATTGAATGAAACAGATGAACCAGAACTGGTTTGTAAAAATGCTGCAACTTCACTGGTGTGGAACTGGTTTAGCTTTTGTCGTCAGATACACAACAAAGCACTATTTCTGGTAGAGCATGCTAGCGGGCCGTCGTTATTACCGTGTTGTTTGGAAAATACGGCACACTTAAAATCAATCCTTTGATTTTTCTGAAAATCGACAGATCCCGTGTGCCTTATGTATGAACTCTGGTTGTGTTTACTGACCTGGAAACGATTTTATGCGCACGGCGCTCGAAAATCTGTCAAATGTTTCAGTAAGACTTTGCTGAGCTACGAAGCCGCACCGCTTGATGGATTGTCGGAGCATTACGGCTATCGTAGGCGGAGCCTCGCGGAGTGATACGTACTGAGCTTCAACATAATGTTACCGTATTGTGTGTGTATAACCTGTTTTTAAGTTTTGTGGATATTATACATGGTTATGCTGAGGATATGTCGGCCAGTTTCCACTGGAAATGCCTTTTGGTTAAACTGTCAGCAAGGAATTCGCATTTGCACGGTAAAATTTTTTATATCACTTTAATGCACTTAAAAAACAGCTGCTTGTTCAAGTAAAAATACATTGATGGGTTTTTTTGCACTAATAAAGTTGTGGAGTTGTAAAGTATTTTGTCTAGTGTCAGTTATATCGATATACAAATTTTCAAATGTATATCGTGATAAATATTTTTGGTCATATCGCCCTGCTCTAACTCTAAGCAACTTAAAGCTGGTGTTTCCATTTGTGGGAAACTCAAAGTACTCAAAGTAAGCAGATTCAAAAGTCAAGTAAAGACATGACCCCTGAAGAGAAACAAATAAAGCAGCATCGTAGTTTGGCACCAACTCTAAACAGCAATTATCTTTAATGACATGCTGAGTCATCGTTCTGAGGGGTAAACTCTCACCAAGAGAATCACTGAAAAGCCAAAACTTGTTCAACAAACCAGAGAAACACAAAGTGCGAATGAGGAACTTCACAGCTCTGAAGGGTTCACAAAGCCTCTGTATACTGTAGTGATTCTGAAACATTAGGTCAGGTGGTGCACTGTGCCTCAGCTGTGATGTTAGTAGTCAGGCTACATTTTGCAATAATGAAAGTCATGTGGTGGGTGGGCCAACAGTCTTCAAATGAGTCCCCTCATGATCTGCTTCAAAAACTACACGGACAAATCCTCCAACTCACTAGAAACCAAGAGTCTGGCTTCTTTAAGACATGGCAAAAAAAAGCAGACATTCGTGTCTATGTAGGTGAGAAGCTCAACAGCAGACTGTTTTTTTAAAAAGTGTTGCTTGTTGGCCGAGAGCAGACAACCTGCAAAAGTGCAGCAACATGTTGCAGATGCATCAGCACGGGCCAACACGCTGTCTACATACTAATAATAGGAAGTGTCACCGCTAAAGGTTGTGGTTACTTTATGTGCAATAATTGCCAATAAGTAACAATTACTTCAATGTGTCAGAAATCCCCTGAACTGTAGAAGATTCTCCCAGTGCCATGAAAAAGCTTCTTGAATCAGAGACCACATTAGGTTTGGGATGTGCTGTAGACGAGCTTAGGTATGTGACTTGTGTAAGCTTGTTCCCCGAGTCTGCAGAGAAAATGTGCATACACGACAGTATGACTCGCGCTAATGGGTCCTCGATATAAAGGTGATAGAAAGATTTAAAAGCACCAGTCGTGCAACGCGACTAATGCCGTTACATTTATTTATCTAAGGCCCTCGTTATACTTTTTGCATCTCCGAGTCTTCCTGGTCTGACTGATGTAATCATCACACAGTGAGCGTCCACATGTCTGCCAGCTGTTTTCAACTGCACTGACCTTTCTGCAGGGTCTTTACATTACAATGCACCAGCTGAATGAGCTGAACTCAATTCAGCACATTAACTCTTCATAAACTGTTACTGGTAAGAGCAGATGCTACAATTAGACCCTTATTGCAGCCCTTGGGAAAATATATTGTCCATTCTCGGCTTAAACAATCAAAGAAAGAATTAGTAAAACTTACGGCGTGGTTTGCGGCACATGTTGTACAGGCAACAGCAGGGGCAGACGCAGCAGCAGATGAAGATGAGTACAAAAATGATGGAGCCCACAATACCAGCCACCATGGGTAACGTATTATTGATACTATGATACTCATATCTAGCACTGTTGAAGCCATCAACATTATTGGAGCTGAAAAGGAAAAAAAGAAATTAGTATGAAAAATTGTCTTTACATGACATTAACTTACTACAAAACAGGAAAAGGAAACATTTACAAGTCACCAAGTCAAATTTAACCATTTTAGGACCTTTTTAAAACTGGAATTAATCACAAACCCAAAGTATGATGAAATAATTAACAAGGCCATCATGTATTTACTAGTACGCTACAATTTCCAGACCTTCAAAGCACTACACAACAAAAACAACTCCTGATACTATAGTTCAAGTAGAACCACGGTGCTGCCTCCCTTTCCTCAGAGTTTGTGTTTGCAGGTGTGTCACCTTTCATAAACCAGCAGAAAACATACAAAAGGTCCTTTTTCTGGGCTTTGGGAGATATTTTTACGAGAAGCTGAATTCACTGTAGTTCAGTGGTTTCAAAAAGAACAGATAACCTGTCAGTGCTACAGCAGGCATGTGGAGGAGTATGGTCTATTAATCTTAGGGATAATGTGAATGAAGGCCTCGGTGCAAGCTGTAGCTGACTCACACTTCAGCTTTATGCTGATGGTCGTGCACAGGAAAACCTTACTTCCTGTTTCTTAACGGCCTAAAACACACACTTGGCTGTAATTACACAGAGGAAAGGGGGAAAAAATGAAACCAACATCGAAAATAGATTGAAGGAGAAAAACATACCACTTTTTTTGGGCATCTTCTTTAAAACGAGTGGAATAATATGAACAACAATATCTGTAATAGCAGCTCCCACAGCAATATCCTGAATAGCATTTCTGGACACTTTGGCCCGTGTAGGCCAGGCAGTCGTCCCCTGCTGTAACAGAGCAGAAAGAGGGGCAGCAAAAGTTAGCTCAATCGTCAATAAATCATTTCAAATAAATCAATTAGTTTAATTATTAGTTATGAAATTTCACTTTTCAGCACTGCAACTTGGTGACTTTTGGGAAACTGTTGATTCACCTTCAGTTTCATTTCAGAGGATGTAGCTCTGGGTGTTGTTGAAGTCTACGACACTGTACAGAGACGTTTTCACACCCTTATTTATCCCCAGTTTAAAACCCTGCTGTTGTAGTTGATGTAGTTTCCACTGCTGCCAAATTATCTTTCACATGTTTCTTATACTACAACCGAGCTGTACCCTGCTCTGTACCTAATTAACTGGCAGCTTTTGCGACCAGATTATGCTTGATGGTAACTATGAGCTGAAACGTTAGAAAACAGCCGTACGTAAACCCCCATTACCGTGCACATGGCTTTCAACAAATAAAATGAGGCTGTAACAAACTAATCTTTCGGTCTTTTTAAAAGGTTTAAAACACGAGCTGTAACTTTAACGACGACCGTCTGTGACATCGCCCAAACAGTGGTCTAATATCGATGTGACGATAACATCACAGACTGCGTGGCGGCCTGAGACAACAAGCAGTTCGATAGCTAATGCGAACAGCGACCGTTTACAGATTAAAACAGTCAAACTTACCGGAAACACAAGGGAACAGGACCACATACAAAGCCAACGCAACAATAGTGGACAGGCCTGGCGCCATGTCTACTCCAACACTCCCGGATTCAGTAAAGGAACTGAGAGTCTTCGACAGCTCCGGAGGAGGAGGAGGTGTGATGGACTCTTCGACTGCGACAAAGCTCGTCTATTCCCGGAGCTGCCTCGCTCGGTTCATGTCCCAGCCCACTGCCAAACTGTTTCGATTCATGGACTGTTTATGGGCTTTGGAGTTGACGTCACGCCGCAATGCATTGTGGGAGCGCGGCACCATATTCGGGTACGAATCAAATCCAACACACTGTGTTGGAACGACGATTACAAGATGCTCGTGAGCATATTAATATCGTGAGCATATTAATACGTCTTTATACGCAGTTTTTGGCTACGACCGTAGATGTTCTGTATAAAAACGTTTTACGAAGCGTGAAAACTACAATAAATACGGAAAAGAACTTAACGATAACGGATGTTTTTAAAGCGGCTGCAGACAATGTGGCAGACCTCCACAGGAAGTACTTCCGCGGCGGAAGTTGATCATTATTTTTTTTGTTTTATTTTTTGCTTTGTTTTTCTTTCGTGCTCATTTAGTGACATTTTACAATATTTAAATTAATTTGGGGCTGATTACCCAGAGCCCCAGAGACAGAAGGGGCTCCAACAAGCCTGCAAACAAGAGTTTTTTGTGTAATTTATCTCTAAGTAATAACTGTCACAAATTGACTCGATTTCAACGGAAATGGTTGATCATCGCAAATTGTGCATTTATTTCTTTGTTTAATCATAACTTTAAAAATAAATACAGTAAAAACATGGTATTGAGAGCATGAGAAGTTTCTCAAAGTTTGTATTGTTGCTCATATTGTCTTTGCTGTACACACATGCAGAGCTTGATCATTTATTTTCAGAAAAGTAATCGATTGACTCAAAGACCACGTGGAAGCCACTGCTGTGTATGTGAGTGAAGTTGCCCCCACCCCCCACCTTCTTCAAATCCAACAGAAGTGGTATCAAACGTTTGTGCTGCAAAAATTTTCATTTGTGCTGCTATCATTTTAAAGATATTAATAAAAATTTCTAATAATAATAATGGATTGCATTTATATAGCGCTTTTCGGGGTCCTCAAAGCGCTGTACAATTCCACTATTCATTCACTCTCACATTCACACACTGGTGGAGGCTACAGTTGTAGCCACAGCTGCCCTGGGGCAGACA